CTAAACTGCCCCCCCCCCCACTTAAGTATGGGACAGGAAGTCTCTATTAAAACTGCCACATAAGCACATAACTTAATAGAAATAAAATGACTAATATACCCTTATTCGGCTAGCTCTAACAAAAAACAATTAATGGTGTTGATTAACTCTGTAGCCATCATGTAGGAAAGCAATATCACCTCAATATTGGATGACCATATAACCATATAGATTCATAATTGTAAGTTGTAACTACAATATATCACATGGGCATATCCTTATGCTTTTAGGCATGAGCCTCAATATTGAACCTTGGGGTGTATCCTTAAGTCTTATCATGAMAAGAGACTCACATGCTATGTTACCCAGATACAACAAGGACATGGTTGGATATGGTATCAGATACAAAATTTAAACTAAGAATTGAAATATCCAACATGATACGACACCCTTGTACAAGGTATCCAGGGACCATAGCTGACATGACTTTTTAAAATACTGACTGCGTTTTTTTTTTTTTTTTTTTTTTGAGATTCATATAAATGAGATAATAGCATCTGTATGCCAATAGAGCTTTACAAAAATGTACTTGAAGTATGTATAGATATCAAGTATGCACAAAAATACTGGCTGCACTTTTTTAATAAAGTAATCATATTTTCTACAAAATTGATGAATAAGTTGGGTAAGTTCCAGCATCCAACTACGTTATATCAACTACTTCCAAAAGGAAAATCAGAAATGTATTAACCACTGTAAGGCAAAGTTGCTGGTTTCTGTTGGTAGTAGCATACTGTTAATGGCAATACAACAACACTTTCTTTTGAGACCAAATAGTGGTGATCTTGCAGCAAAAGCTTTTGCAAGATAGATTTTCTGATTGTTGGGGACATGGGCTGATTTATTGAAAATTTCACAAGGGCAAACATCAAAAGAGAAACAGTTGTGTTATTCTCAAGAAAGGCTTTCTTGATCTACAATAGAATGTTAGATTTTAACCAAATAAAATCAAAATCAACATGTATATATCAACAGTTAAATATAAAGTGAAAAATCTTGCTTACAGGGAATACCCTAGAATGAGCTAGAACTTGTGGATCAAGACTAATGTCCATAGGAATTTAGCAAATGTTTTATTCTGGCTAGGTGTTTAATGCAATCCTACTTTTTCCGGGCTTCGTACCAGCAGTCTGTTACATAGACTCTCCTAAATGGATGAAGTGTCTGTGTTTGACATGCATCAAATACTGATACTCTGTGGACTTTTGAGGTATACTTCTACATGATGTTTTCCTCTCCCATTGCTTGTTTGACATAAATGAATAGCTAGTGTATACAAGGGATGCCATTTATCCTATAAAATGTTATCAGGTAACAAAAACAAACTTTTGGACTTTTTCTATAGGTATCAATGTTAGAATTCAAAGAGAGAGAGAGAGAGAGAGAGAGAGAGTGAGTGAATTACTTAATAGTTTATGCTTCCCTTTAGACATCTGCACCAGTCCTTGTCTTCTCACCTTGCTTAGCCAGACTCCTGCACAATCATCAGATTTAAATCCCCATATCCATGTGCATGCAACATTATTCGCAGTGCAACTGTGCAAGCAGTCATATAAAAGGCACGCCTAGGCTGCATTTGGGCTCATAGACAAGGCTTGTTTTGGGTGGTGCATCTCACTTGGCTTGCCGCTATGTTCCAATCAATGGATGGAGCTTGAATTTGATGTTGAATATTTAATTTACTATATTGTAAGTTGTACTATGATGGTTAGAGTTTGAATAGTTGAGCCTATTTAGGAATTGAATGTATAAGACTACAACCTTTGTGTTAATAATACGACAATGAATTCGGTAACACTTTTTGAAGTAATCTTCCCCCCAAAACATAGATTTGCATACTCTTGCATATTAAGTTTTTATTCTGTTTCTGTTTTCAACAGTGGCGCCTTATTTCATTTGAGGTGCACCTCACCTTGTGCCTTGAACCTTGCACCTCAGGCCCTAGGAACACTTTACACTTTTGTACCCTTCAAAGATTAAAACTTGTTGTTATTGATAAACAGAAATCTGCTCCCGATAAGATGATTGTCACATAAATACAAACTCTAGTGCTCAATTCTTCCATGGTCCTATCATTGTCAACATTGTATTGTATCCACCTTCCGTAAAAATGAAAAATAAAAGCACAAGCTGATTTTCTCACATAATTATTCTATTCAAAGTCGACCATGAATTACTTAAAGTCTATAAAATACACATTCATAGTGCCTGCATCTGTGTCTGTGCGTGCGTGAGTGCGGGTGTGTGTGTGTGTGTGAATGTGTTCTAAGAGGAAGGATCAAACCTTAAAAATAAAATGAGACCCGAGATTTGTAAGACTGTAATTCCTCCACTATCATCTGAATTGTGGAATCCACCTCGAGAACAATTAGCTGAGCACGAACAAAAAAGTAGTATTTGCAGGGCTGTTCCTCGATTGAAACCCCTGGACAATCGCGAGGATACTCGCCTTGTGAAGCCTTAAAATGGCTTTCATTCTCGAGTGAGAATCATTAACAGGGTGGATTGGGATAAGTAAAATTACTAAAAACAGAAAAATGGGGAAACATTTCCACGAAAAAAAATGAAATTAACTGACCTCTTAACAGGGATATGTAGAAAGTAAGGGTTCCATCTTCCTTCCTTTACACCATTTATGCTCTCAACGCACTGTGAGACTTCTGTGAGAATTCAAATGTTAGTCGTTCACGGGTTTCGTTGCAATGCAAGAGCCTAAAATTACGATTCAAAAGCAAAACACCCGAAAGCCAGAACAAAAATTCAGATTTCCATTTCATCCTCTGAAAAGTTATAACTACGAACGAGAGGAACCGGAATCTGTGGCCGTGCCGCCTGCGGCCCGGCACGACGGCACGCGGGCCATGCCAGGCCCGGCACGATGGTCCGGGCGTGCTGCATCTGGGGTTTTAGGTCCGTGGGCTGGGTTGGCACAGCAAGACCAAGCGGGCCATGCCGCCCGCGGCCCGTATGCTGGCACAGCTCAGCACGGCCCATATATTTTTTATATATTTATATATTTTATATATAATATATAAATAATTATTTTTAATTTTATTGTACTAATTTATTTATTATTATATATATAAACAATTGTATACATCAAAATTCATATAAAATTAAAATTTTTAAGTTTTTATTCAATTTTTTAAATAAATAGATTTGGCCCGGCCCACAACACGGCACAGGCCTACACGGGTTTGGGTTGTGGGCCGTGTCAGGCCGACCCCCAAGTTATCCCAGGGGAGGGCGGCAAGGCCTAGGATGGCCCGCGGGTCAACACAGGCCGTTTTACACCTCTAAAGAGAATGAGATTTCCCTTCGCATATCAACAGTTAAGAGAGAAAGAGATAGATCATCACAACCATCCATTGAGAACATCTTCCCATGAATGATAACATCATCTACCAAGATGTGCATTGTGCATTTGGGGAGTTGGGATCAGCTCCTTACACTGTGTGCCTCACACCGACGTCACAGAAAGTCCTTGCCAAACATCTCCCGTCCTTGAATTTATTATTCATGGGGAGATGTTCCCAGTACAAGGTGGGATATGGCCATGAGGGCTGCCTAGCATTGAGAATATCTCCATACTTATATGCATTATATCATGGGAAGATATTCCCAATGCAAAGATGGGAAAGGCTGTTACAACGGTGTGGGCATAGATTTGCCTGGACYGAAGCCAGTCTCAGGTCAGTATGAGGCGCACTATGTTAGGAGTAGATCCCAATTTGCATTTGGAGTGTCAATCACCTACCAACAAAGGCATGAGTTCACATCAGCACCCCACAAGGGGGTGCCCTACAGCACATCCCAACCTTGTATTGGAAACATCTTCCGGTAATAGATATGGGAGATGATAGACATCGTTGGGATGTGCTTTGGGGCATTGTCGGGCACCCCCTTATGGGGCACTGATGTGAACTCCAAAGAAACCTTCCAACACCCTACCAACATCATCTAACATCTTACATGTCATACATGGCGGCTCCCACTTTTAAGGTGGGCCCAATTTCATAATGAGAAGTACGGTGTAAGATCAAGTTGGTAGCTTGATAGGCTGTTGGGACTTGTTCTGTTGGCAAGAAATCCCTACTCGTTAATCTGAATTCGTCTCATGGTAAGATGTGGGGTGTGAGATCACGTTGGGAGGGTGTTGGAAGTTGTTTTGCTGCCAACTCTGTATGATGTGGTGTGCTCTAATCACAAGTCACAACTGTTCCAAATTTGTAAACTAGTGAGATTCCTTCCACTCTTCGAGATTGGATCAGTTCCTCACATTGACCTTACAGCATGCCCAGTCGATACATCAGGAACATGTCCGGTACTTGTATTTATTATTCATGGAGAGATGTTCCCAATACACAATGGGATGTGACTGTAAGGTTGGTGTGAGGAGCATATCCCAATTCTTTATGCACACCCCCAAGTGATTACGCACACAATATAAGAGTTTGGATCAGGACCCAACAGCCTTTTGCAACCATGCATTGGGAACATCTCCCCTATTCTCCATGGTGAGATGTTCCTAATGTATAGTTCCAACATGGATTGATCACCATTGTTGTTGCAATCACCAACATAGTAACAGTCTTCAGGCATAACTTGCTTCACTTACCTATGATGTCTCCCTCTTGTGTCTCACTTCCCCCACTCACTATAAGGGATGGACAATAATCAAGCTTTTCATGAGCTATTCGAGCTCGGCTGGTGAAAAGCTCGATTTGGTCCGATTTAAACTAAGTTTTGAGTTGAGCTCGAGTCCAATAAAACTAGGCTTGTGAGGCTTACGAGTTTAATCGAGCTTACATATATAATAAATATAAAATTATTATACATATAAAAAATAGTATATATATAAATATATAAATAAAAATAAAAGTATTATATATAATAAAAATGCTATATATAATACTTTTTTATTTTTTTTATGTGTATAATAATAACTAGTTTTTGTAATTCTTAATTTTTATGTAAAATGAAAATATTTTTTTTATGTGTACAATTTTTATTTTTATAGGAAATTTAGCTAATAATCAAGTTTGAATTGAGTTGAGCTAAATTTGACCTCAAAAATCTCTAACTCGAATCAAGCTCGAATATCAAAATTTTATGACAAACCGAATTCGAATAACCAGATATTCAGCTTTATTCTGCTCGAATCCATCCCTACTCACCACCACAACTTTACCGAGCACCGTTATTCTAGCTAACTATTAAGAGTTGGCAATTCATCCCTCCGGCCACACCTTCACATTGATCTAATTACATCATGCCAACACATTGAATGGTTTCAACATGGTCTTGTGACTATGATTCTTGATTCTGCTAGGCAGAAAGATTGTAATAAAAGCTCCAAAAGCCAAAAATTGGATGGGTTAACCTGCTCTAGCTTTATTTAGCTAACCAGGCGGTAAAATACTTTCTGCTTTCTGAAGGATCTTAGAGGATAACTAATATCATCCCTTCATAGATTTTGCCTTTTTTCCTGCAATAATGAAAATGACTAACTCTCTAATTATTTATATTTCGATCCCTTTCCCTTGCCTTGTATCTCAAATATGAACAGTGGAGTTAATCATAAAGAACCCTTTTTGACCATTTGTTTTTACTTCCACCTCATTTCAAACGTAAGTTAAGATGGTTATGTTATGATAATGAGTCCAAATTACATATATCCCATGTATCAACAAAAGAATCCAAACTTTTAAGGTGGTGTAGAAAGTTCATAGAAAGGTGAAATTTTGGTAAGCAAATATGTTATCTCAAGCTAAGAGAATTACTTTAATCCAAAATGTACATAACTCAATCCAAGTCAGTATATTAGATGAATTATATATAATGAGGGATAATTTGGTCCTCCGAATTATATTATCATATATGGCATTTCTAAATGGTTGAACGATATCTCGATACTAAGAAAGTAGATCACCTCAACAGAGCAGCTAGTAGTATCTCGTCTAGGGCCGACCTATAGTACCTCAACTTTGTTGGCCTAAAGTACCTTAGTATGAGGAGCGACTTCCTTCGAGAACCTGTCGAGCTAATCAAGGTACAAAAAGCGACCTGCGACCTTAAACCCGTTATCGAGACCAAATTCTCTAGGGTAGCAGTACTCAACCGTTAAGACCGCCTACCCGCATCATCTGTACAAGAGTTGATCAAAACCCGTTATCGAGACCAAATTCTCTGGGGTAGCAGCACTCAACCGTTAAGACCGCCTACCTGCATCATCTGTACAAGAGTTGATCAAACGGACCTTAGCCCTCAGCGCAAATCACATACTTGATAGAGATATTCTCTCAGAACTCAACGGGAGTGGCTCCTCGGGAATTTGGACCCGTTGCAATGGGCCTCCGAGTAGGGGTGTAAATGGATCGAATTCGAATTAGATCAGACAATATCTGAATTCGAATCCGATTAAGTATTCGAATATTCGATTCGATTCGAATTCGATTAATTAATTATTTTAGATAATTAATAAATATTTTATTGATATAAAGTATATAAATTATTTATATAACTTAATTATTATATATATAAATTATATAAAATATTTTATATTATATATAAGAATTAAATAATCGGTTGAATTCGGATATTTATCAAATCGAATCAGGTCATATCCGAATTCGACCGGTTAGATATTCGAATTATCCGAATTCGATTCGATTATGTCGAATATCGAATTCGAAATCGGATTTTCGAATACCATTGACACCCCTACCTCCGAGCCCTTACACCTATATAAAGGCATTACTTTCCTGAGAGAAGGTACACACGATTCAGCTCTCGCACACTCTAATCTTCTAGCATTCTAATTCTCTATAAAACTTCCAAACTTGCTGACTTAAGCATTGGAGTGCCCACCCCAAGTAAAACAACTCAGGCAATCTAATATTGTTTCCATGCAGGTTTTCTAAGAAAACTACATAGTTCGTTGTTAATCTAGCTCGGCGTCCGAGCTACTTTCTAGCTCAACCATACTCAATTCGGCAACTGAAAGAAGCCTAACCTTTAAAAAAGGAAGAGTGGAATCAGTTAAAATGAGGCCTTATTGCCCAGGCTTTAGCCAAACATTTAGGTTCATTTTAGAAGGAGTACAATATAGAGTGCAAAACTTGTATTTTGGATTATTTTATATATTTATATTTTACGTATTTATATTTGTACTATTCTCAAACAAGGAGTATAAATATAAATATATATGAGTGTAAAACCTTATATTTCATATTATTTTGTATATATTTATATTATATATATTTGTATTTATCAAGGTTCTAAATATCAATATGCCCGATACATCGGTAGGGACGTATTGGGTAGTAAAGATACTTTTTTTTTCTTATATTTTTTTTCAAAACTGGTTCAGGGGGGCCAGTTTAAGGCTTCTCCACCCCTTGAACTGGTTAGAACTCCGATACACTCTCTGTAAGGGCATATCGAGGTTCTCCTGGTATGATATGTATCGACCGATACGGGCCAATATCGATACTTTGAACCTGCTTGGTATTTATACTATTTTAAACTGAGACTTAAGTGATAAGAAACTAAGAATTTAAGGCTGAGTTTGGAAGGAGTACAAATACAAATATGTAGAACGCAAAACCTTATATTTTGTATGTATTTACGCTGTACGTATTTGTATTTTTACTCTTTCCAGACTGAGCCTAAGGAGACAATCAATAGCATTTCCATAGAAAATTGTATGATAGAATGGAAATATGGGCCTTTTAACGATCTATGGATGCTAATATTCCACGCCAGAGTTCCACATGGAAAGAAATATATGCAACGAGCTCAAGTTAAAAATAAAAGTCAATCAATTATTGAATGAGGCATAGCCAATCTCTCACTCC